GTGTCAAAGCTCGCCATTGCCAGCTGCGACGTGCTCGCGGTTTTCCCCTTATTGTGAACGTCCGCGTGCGGGTGCCTTTGCTACCCGCGTCCCGGGAGCGGACGTTGTGCTGTTGTTCGGGGTGCCGCCAGAGGCAATAAAGTGTTGTGTACTGTTACATTAGAACACTGTCTATTTGCCGCGCCGCGCTAAACGCCTTATCAGTTGAGCGCGCGCGGAGCGGTGCGCTACACGCGAGTAAACGGAGTAGCGGCCCTGTGGCTCGCTAAGCGTGAACCCGCGGTGATCGTCCGCTGCAGTTAGGAGCGGGGGTCACCACATCTTCCAGGCTGTCACCCTGTGTGTTAAGGAGTGGGAGTGTATGTACTTGTCTTCCTGCTACCCTACGAACCATGTTCCAGACTTAAGCCTCTTGTGTATATGAATTGATCCCTGATAAGAACTTGTACCAGCTTTCTCTTCTGGCCTACCTGCGCGTTCTCCTGCCTTGAGATTTTATTTTCTTAAAGCTGGCAAGATTTTCGGCTGTAGGCGAATTCCGAAACAACCATCATGCCTTGTTCTGCTCCTTCTGCGCATTACGACACTCGGTGTTCCACCATGGGATGCGTCGCTTGCCAGGCAGTCCAGATGTTTGCAGGATTCACTTGGCTGCTGCGTCAATAAGGAAAGCTGTGAATCCACAGCTTCATCTATGCTTAACCCACATATGTCTGTCCAACATAAAAGAGTAGTGTTATAAAACTGTTCCCAGTCGGCCTTGTATGTCAGCCATTTGGGAACTTGTGAATAACATTGGTATGATGTTGGTGTACTCAGAATGACAGGAAAATGGTCACTTCCATAAGGATTATTTATAATTTTCCATTGGAGTAGGGGTAGAAGTGAAGGAGATGCAATACTGAGGTCTATGGAGGAGTAAGTATTGTTTGCAAGGTTATAATATGTTGCCTCTTTCCTATTCAACAGGCAAGCACCTGATGAAAAGAGAAACTGTTCGATGAGACGACCTCGTGCATCACATCGACAGTCACCCCATAAACCGCTGTGCGCATTCAGGTCCCCTAGAAACAGATAAAGTTCTGGTAACTCATCTATTAAAGACTGGAAATCATGTTTTTCCAGGCGGTGTTGCGGCGGTATGTATAGAGAGCAGATGGTGACGAGCTTATTCAATAGAAGTGCTCGAACAGCCACTGCCTGTTATGTTAGTAGTGTCTCCATTATGGGAGTAAAAAAGTGCTGTGTGTACGAAATGAGTGTGGCTGGTGTCTAAAGAGAGAAGTGACTTATCTTACAGAGCCTTTAGAAGGCCCTGTAATTACCGTTTTGTCTTTTTTAGAGCGGTCGAGGGAACCTGCCGCTCCTTTGGCACAGTCTGCGCCGGTGCAGTTGATGTGTCCATCGCCTCAGGAGAGGCGACAGACAATGTTGTTTTCGTTGTAGGCTTCGTCGTGACAGACGGAGCCTTCGATCCCACCGGGCTTGAGGTCGACGGGACCTCTTTAGTTTGTCTGGTGCCCTGGCTGCTGCAAGGGTTCACAGGGGCCTTCGGTGAGGCTGTATTCAAGGAGGGTGGGGCAGCCGAGGCTGCTCCCCCCATGAAGGCTTGTGGCGTTTGCCTCGGCACGCTGGGCGTGGTCCAAGGCATTGCCGAAAACCGAAGTGGTGCTGACCCCCCTCGCAGCACTTCGGCATACGATGTGTTCTCAGCAAAATGCGGGAAAACGCGCTGCCGCGCTTCACTGAAGCTTATGTTCAATTTAAACTTTGTAATTATAATTTCTTTTTCCCTTTTCCAGGTCACGCATGACCTGGAATATGCAGGATGGTCACCCTCACAGTTTGCGCAGTAGACTTGCAGCTGACAGTCATCGTCAGCGGTATGACCTTTGGTGCCGCATTTCGCCCAGGTAAGCTGTCTTCAGCAGCTCTGGGAGCCGTGCCCGAACCTCTGACACTTAAAGCAGCGCCGCGGGTTGGGTATGCATGGTCTGACTGGCAGTTTAAGATATCCTGTTGCTATTTCAGTGGGGAGAGTGCTAGATGCGAAATTGAGTATGATGTGTTTCGTTGGGATTTCTTTATTTTCTCTTCTTATTTTGATACGCTGCACCTGAATGACATTTTCTTCTTTCCAGCTTGTTAGAAGTTCATCATCAGATAGGTCCATCAGGTCTCCATCTGATACAACACCCTTCACGGTGTTCATGATTCGATGCGGTGTGATTGTGATAGGCTGATCCCCAAATGATGTAAGTTTATGCAGTCTCTGGTACTGTGCGTGGTCTTTTATTTCGAGTAACAGGTCACCACTGGCGGTCTTTGTGGCTTTGTAGCCTGCGCCTAGCGTTTCTATAAGGCATCTGGACACAAGGAAAGGTGAAATGCTTCTAGCTTTCTTTTCTGTACTTTCACAGTGGATCATGTGGTATTTCGGGAAGTTATCTTTCTTGTTTGGAAGAAATTCGAAAATTGCATCGGTGCGCCACTTCTTGGAGGGGCGATTAGTTGTGAGAGGGCTAGGAGTTCCCATAAATTTGGTAGCTTATTCGGCGGCAATGCCAGCCACCCATCACCGAGCCCAACAAGGGGCGCTGCGAGACGCGAAGGAGACGCAGGCGCCAGCCGTACATGGCCGCTATAACCTAATATATCTACCCAAGGTTGGATATCTACACCAGGTTAACCCTTGCCGTCAGGAATTGTGGAAGTAAAAAGAAGTGAGGAGAGGACAGGAAAGATCAAAAGTAGTAGAAAAGACGAAGATAGAGAGCTAGAAGGAGACAGGAAAAGGCGATTGCCGATTTCCCTTGGGTGGGTCAGCCCAGGGGTGCCATCTACATGAAGCCGGGGCCAAAGGGGTGTGTTGCCTCTGCCGGGGGGCCTTAAAGGTCCAATCACCCAGCGTCAGCTCAACCCCAAGATTCCCTTTTCCCCAGACACGGCAAAGCCACGTACGGCTAGGCGTGGGAGGGAGTCAAAACTCCCCCGTTAGCTCAGGTCCGTGGGGTCGCTACACACCAAACGCCTACTTGCGCAGGCGCCCCTGCGGGGTAGGTTGCCATTGCAGACAGCTATAGAATTATCATTGGTTTGACATAGTGGGCATGGTGGTCTAATAGACACTGTAGATCCAGTTAGCGCTAACGCTGATGGCATGCATTCCACAGCATACATTTCTTCAGACATGTGGGTCGTTTGTTCATCTTGCAGTACATGACGCCACAACAGCCGGGCCTCCTCCCGGATTTCTACTTGTATGCGGAGGAAGGTTAAAATTTCCTTGGCTAGCTGTGTTCTGTCGTCAGGAGTTTTGATGATGCTGGATGTGCTAGATGTTCGTTTCATTAGTCCTCTGTTTGTACATGATGGTGAGATCCTCTGGCAGACATAACATCAGGACACTGTTTAACACCACGGTGTACTGGTCTGGTGAAACCCCAAAGCCTTCTAAGGCGCTGACGTGAAATTGGACGGTGTCGTGCAACAGACGAAGCTTCGGGACCTCTGATGAGCTATTCACTAGGCTTAGTGCGAGAAGATAATTGACATGTTCGTTCACAAACAGATCCCAGTGTCTGAAGTGGTCTGCGTAACAATTTCAAAAAGGTAGTTTTGATAGGCTAAGCGGATACCTACGATAACCCACTTCGCAGTGCGGATTAATTAGGCGAGCAGGTTCTTTTCAGCTTTTCGATGCGAAGCGTGATTGTGGCCTCGAAACGATCACAAAAAGACTGCCATTCATGGTGGTTACCATCGAAAGTTGGTACCTGTAGCTTCAGTAGTTGAACTGAACGCTGACGGCGCTCTGCCACCTGGCTTGCTGCGTCACTGAAGTTCAGAGATCCGAGGTAGCTAAGCCTAGGTTCAGTTGCTCAAGCCGGCGTTCTGGCAGCCCTCTCATTCTTGAAGCCAGAACTTGGCGTGGTACACAACCTAGGCAATCTTCTCACTGCATCCCTGCTTCGTTCCTACTTCCTGGTCGAGGTATTCTTCATCTGTGGTCACAAGGATGATGTCGTCGAGCTTCAACAGCGCTGCCTCCTTGTCTTTGGGGTAATCCATGTGGTCGTTAATTTGAGAGACATCAGGATCCCATTGCTGCAGCAAGTCCATTAGAAACCTAAGTGCTCTCGTGATGCCAGCCCTGACTGAGCCGCACTTCATCCGAAGGTGGTCAGAGTTCACGTACAAGAAAGTCTCTGGAGGGGCACTTTCCAGTTTCACGGCACCAACAACGTAGCGAAAGGACTGGTTGCCCATACGTAAAGGAAAGACATCCGTTTATTGAATCATATGGGCAAACTGCTGCACAGCCCACGTGCGCGTGCCCTCGACGCCACCTTAGTTTCTTCTTCAACGCACTCTCCAAGTAACTTCGTTCTTATTTTGCAACAGTGCGTGGCTTGAGGAGGGCAAGTGCCCTTTTTGCATCTCATTATTGACGCTCAGCCAGTGGTGTAAGCAGCCAAGAGAACAAAGGCTGTGATTGAGTGACAGTCAAGATGGGTGTGCATGCACCCCAAAAATTTCTCGCATGAACAACATATGCCAACCGGCTGAATGTCCGGGGGAGTCCAATCAGCAACTGAGACGCACTACACTGACAGTGTCTCAAGGTGCTGCCAATGCAGTTAAGCATAAGCATTTATATTAATATTATAGTATTAAAAAATACACTCAAGGCTACATTTACCACAAATCCTAGCCTCATAGGTTATGTGGGGCTTCACCGCCCTGTCTGTGGAGGCTTCACAAAATACCTTTAGGGAGGCTTCATAAAAAAAAATTGAACCAAATGCGAGACAAAAACGCCACACCTAGTGGCAGAAATGTCATTTTGCACATGTTTTTCAGTGCTGCTCGAATGGTTTAACCATTAGTTACTGCTAACACGAAAGGTGTCATGAATGTGCGTGGCAACATGAAAAGTTCAAATGATTCCAGTAGCCAATAAAGTCTTCTGAAAGCATGAAGCAGAAGGTGAACCTGACCCCAAGACCCAGCAGGGCTCCAAAGGCAACTGTGAGGGATAGGCCTCTGGAGAACAGGTTCCCATGGTGGTTGTCCCCAATGACTCGGTACTGCCGCAGCAGGTAGTGGGCAAAGCCAAACAGCATGCCGCTCGCCACACTCTGAAATCAACAACAAGTGCATCGGTATTAATAAGTGGCAGAACGGCACAACCTTTGGAAGACTATGTGCCCGAGTAATCAGTCAACATATCAACTTCACTACATCAAAACTTTAAAAAATAAAAATTGAACCTTTCATATAAAGCGCAGCAGCCAGATATTTTTTTCTTTACATGACAAGTGCCGGAATGATGTTTACATATAACGGCAGTATGAGCAGCTTCTTCAATAACGAGAAAAAAAATTCGTGAACTCGAGATCAGGCAACTGCAACTAGATGCTGCACTCGCTAAGTGCTTTTTACAACAGCAAAATGTCAAGCATAAACACAAAAGAAATGCTGGTCGAATGCACAGTGGGATAAGCGAAGCTACTGCTGTTGCAGTTTGTCATCAAAACCTCAGGTGTTGCATAAAGAGATGCAACGTTGACGCTATCATGTTCAGTGAACTAAACCACTCGCAGCATGCAAATCAAGAACCATCACACAATCCAAGAAGCAAGGTGCCAACCTGAATTCGGGCACTCCCATTTTTAATAATAATAATTTTATTTCCGCCAATCAAAATTGATGGAGCAGGGGATGAAAATAAAAGTGACCATCCGCTTGACTAGATTCTCACTCCTCAGTATACGTGAGGGAGACGTGGCGGTGGCAACAGACCACAATATCTGGTGAAGACACGCAACATTAACCACAACAGGAGCTGCACAAGTTTCGTACACATTGCCACTGCAGTGTTGGCAAAAAAGTGCCACCACATATGTTAAAGGAGCTTGCTCAGATGATTGGGTAACCCACTAATCCTCTATACACATCTACAGTCACATATAGACATGACAATATTGTTATATATCCCAGGCTGTCACCAAAAGGTCTTGGCGATGAGCCCGAGCTGCTTCTGCGTTTCGAGCCTGCTGCACGAAGAGAAAGAAAGCGCACATACCGAGAGTGGTATGCACTGCCTTGAGGAGCGGCGCGTCATCTAGTGAGCATTTTTGAAATCACAGAAAAGCCGACGCCTTGAACGCCGGCACGTCACCTAATGAGCATTTATTTATTTATTTATTTATTGCACCCTCAGGGTCCGAAGGCATTACTGAGGGGAGTGGGGATACATAAGAATACAGAAAAAACATCAAAGCATAAAGGAAAAAAAAACTACAAAGTGGATGGTAAAAACTCACATCAAGACAAATAAAAAGAAGTGGCTGCAGCGGGAGTACAAGAGAACAACTTTGATAATGAGGAAACAAAATTATACAAACAGTAACAAATATAAATATATTCACAAAATAGCAATTGTTTTATGGAATAAATTAATATCAGTTATGTCAGCGATGTTGAGGGGAAGGCCATTCCAATTGACACAAGTTCTGGGTATGAATGAGTCATAAAAACATTTAGTATGATATAATAGAATTCCAACTTTATTATAGTGATCAATGCGAGCTGATATATACGAGGGTTTTGTGAGTAACTTGTTTTTCAGATATTTATTTTAGTAAATTTTGTGAAAAAGACATAATAAAGATACAGACCTGCGATGAGAGAGAGAGAAGGGAGGGATAAACTTCATTTCATAGCAGTTACACTACTTGTTTGGTGATAAATAGAAAGTATTAAACGACAGGCACGGTTTTGCACAGCTTTCAGATCATAAATGAGTGAATGAATGCCAGGGCTCCAGACATACGCAGAACATTCTAAATGCAGGATATTCTAATTTTGAGCGAACCAGTGTTTTATAAAGCAATAATTTTATTGAACTGGGTGAATGAGAAAAGTTTCTGCGAAGATACTCAAGCATGCGTTTGGCGCTATTTATAATATGATCAATATGAGTTTTCTAGGACAGGTTAGAAGAAATGTGAATGTCGAGGTACTTATAAGAGAACACAGTTTCAAAAGCAACATTGTTAATGTGGTAATTAGGAGGTTCGTTGGAATTTCGAGAAATGTACATGTGCTTGCACTTATTAGTGTTTAGGTTCATACTCCAAGTGTTACACCAATCCAAAACCCTGCTAATGTCTGATTGAAAGTAAGAGACGTTGTTATTGTCATTAATTTTGTAGTAAATAACACAATCATCAGCAAAGTGATTTATTGAAGAAGAAATGTTAGTCGGCAAGTCATTTATGTATATGAGAAAAGGAGGCACTCGAGAACGGACCCCTAAGGCACGCCAGAACGAACAGGTAAGGGATGTGAATCAAAATAATTGGATGCTACAAATTGGGAACGATTTGAAAGAAAGCAAATCAATCATGCTAGTACATTATAGTCAATGTTAAGAAGACATAATTTAAGAAACAGCAGCCCATGCGAGACTTTGTCCAACGCTTTTGAAAAATCTAACTATATGCATTCTGCCTGAAATCCGCGATCGAGGATGCAGTGAAGGTCATGTGTGAAACATATGAGCTAAGTTTCGCATGAGAATGACTTACGGAATCTGTGCTGGCCTGTGCTGAAAAACGAATTAGATTCTAAAAAAGAGACGAGATGAGAGTACATGACGTGCTCCATGATTTTACACGGTATACTGGTGAGGGAAATGAGGCGAATGTTGTCAGGGCAATGTTTATTTTCAGACTTGTGCAGAAGAATCACCCTCCCAACTTTCCAATCACTTGGAATACAACCTTTTTTAGTAAGAATTATGGAACGATATGACTTGGTGTTGATCAAAAATTTGGAGTTAATGTAGTCAATGCCACAGGAAGAGGAAAGTTTAAGATTTCGTATAATGCTCTGAATGCCTGGTGCCTCAAAAACAACTGGGTCCGTGAGAGGAGCATCAAAAACAGGGTAGTCGCAATTATCACGAAACATCGTTGGAAAAAGCCGCCGTAAAGACATTGTTTAGAACAGAAGCACATTCGTCTGATGGAAATGAAACGTCATCAGGCGATGTAAGTAGCAATGCGGTGGTGTCCTTCTTATTAATTACGTTCCAGAATTGTTTTGGATTGTTAATCAGCATAACAGGCAAAGTGTGGTTAAGGAATGTATTTTTCGCGTTTTTCAATGGAGCTTTGTACTCAGCAACCGCAAAAAAGTAGGAATCCCAGTGCACCTTAGAATTTAATTTCTTTGCAGAGCGAAACAAACATTTTTTCTTATTAGACAGCCTTTTCAAAAATTTATTGAACCAAGGCGATTCACTGTCACACCTCAAAGACTTAAGCGGCACAAAAGCATTACTAAGTTCAACAGTGTTCTTAAACAATTCCCAATTAGTGTCGAGAGAACGTAGTGAAAACTCCGGCAAATATTAATCCAGAAAAATACCTAGTTGACGGTAAATGGCATTGAAGTCTGCCCGATTGTAGTCCCTAATGTACTTTACCTGATTGGTGAGCTTGTATACAGGAACCTCAACATCAAAATAAAGCAAGGAAAGGAATGATCACTGAGGCCAGGTGAATGCAAGACTGAAGAAATAAGATGTGGTACGTTTGTTAGAATGAGATCTAAAATACTGGATGTGGTTGAAGTAGTTCAAGTAGGTTTGGTGACAAGCTGTGCCAGGTTGAAATCCAAACAAGTTATTAACAACTTGCTACATTCAGTTGAGAAAGGGCTAGATAAGGCGTCGTACTATTCCACACAATAGTGGGGTAGTTCAAGTCCCCCAGAAAAAAGAATAGGAATGTTGAGAAAGCGTACAGTGATCAGGTTAAGCATGTCATGCGATTCCTCAGCAAAAGTTGAACCCGAAGGTGGAGAGCGGTAACATATGCCCAAAATAAACTTCATGAAACATACACAGAGTTCAACAAAGAATACTTCCAGGTTACTTAGGAAATTAATGGGCGATGCAACAAAATTATCCAAAACAGCTATTAAAACACCACCACCACATCTTTGGCCTCTATACAAGCGAAGTACGTTACACCTCTTTCTGCAGTTAAACAGTTCCGTATTCATTACCTTCAAAGAAAGCCATGCTTCAGTTAGTAAAACATCGGCATCACAAGAATCAATTGCAGCATCAAGTTAATATCACTAAGTTAATATACTTCTTATATTGGTAAAAAGAAAAGAAACAGAGTTTGCTCTAACAGGCACTCAACCACTGCCCCTCGCACATCCCTATGACGTAGGAGCGGTAGAGCGTTGATATCCCGGGCTAACTGCTGATTGTGAACCAGCGCGCAAGCGGAGCGATCAGCGTGCACAGTATGTGACGAGTCACAGATATTAGGGTCAACGTTATCATCAAGTGGTGCCTGTTGCAAAGAACTATTATCCACAAAACGCGGTCATGAGCAGCGCTGTAGCTGTAACACTGACTGTTATTGCACAGTTTGTTGACATCAGCTTGCGCTGCGAGCCCTAATTCTTGGCAAATTGAAGCAGCTTTTTCCTGGCTTGTTTTTCTTGATTATTGGAATCAACAGAGAACCGAGGCCTAGTAGATTAGGGAGCAGAATTGTGGCTCAAATAAAACTCGCCTCTCGGGCCCCCATTCGCCAAGCGCGCTCACGTGCACAAAAAGTGTCCTTGAGGGAAAGCCAACTGAACGGCTGCACAGATGCTGGCGATCGTGCCACTGGCGCCACCACCACGCTGCACAAGCCGTCCGTTGAGGCCGAATGTCCTTTGTTGATGTTGTGGTTTTGTTTATGTCTTGCGTTCATTTTTTGCAGTGAACATCACTGTCAGTGGTGCCTGTGGGGCGCAGCATCATGACTCAGTGCTGCGAAGTCGACACATACGACTGCAGGCCGAATGTGTTGGTACTTCTACATAACTCACTAATTATTCCAGAATTACAGTACATTCCAGAATGCCCATCATCATAGACGTCACACCTGACTGACATATTATAATAGAGTGTAGTTATAAATCTCATGGTAATATTCTTGCGACTAGAGTACATAATAACAAACACAGTATGTATTGTTTTGCGTGCACTCATTGAAATACATCGAATGGGATGGAATGATAGAATCATGCGTGAGTGAATATTTAAATATACACCTTACAG